CTGCTCAATATGGGAATGTAACCAACCAATACAAATATGATTAATCGCAACTCATACAGAAACACATAATACAGCGAGAAATGAAAAAGCGCGCATTTTATGAGGTAAAAGTACGTGAACAATTCGAGATGCGTGCGTGATGTATTGTGTCTGAAATAGTCAAGGTGTATGATATTACGGTCGTTCCTTCAAAAACCGTATTTTTAGCTGTCAAAAAGAGGAGGAGATTCATGGATACAGCCCTCCTTACCCTACCCCGCATTTAGGATCCATGACAGAATTTAGAATTTAGGTTAGAAAGGCGGCCTCTTGTTTTAATATAAAAAAAAAAGACGTGTCAAGTTTTGGCTCGAGACCCGGTTGTTTTTTGTCAGTATACGTTATCAAATGAACAGCCACCAGATTATACTGTAATAGCACACTGTCATGTAATTACCTTTATTCAATCAGTGAAACAAAATTCCCGCTAGGAAGTGGCATATGCTAATTGATCGAGACGCGCTCACTAGCTTGCGGAAAGCTCGCGAAGTCCCACGTTAACGTAAGAAGAATCTTTCGCTATTCTTGTCTCTGTCCCCTTTCTTCCCTCCTCAGCCAACCACCGATCCAACACTCCACCGCGTGCAACAAGTATACTCTGAACATAGCAGACTGGCAAATCTCAACAGGACCGACAAGTCCCGAAAAATCCTTCAACATTACGCAATCACTAGCTAGAGGCAGCACTATCGCAATTTCAAGGTTTCCATTTCAAGTTACATTGTCAGCACTGTTACTGTGAAACGTCGATTTAAACCTTGCAATAAAAATCCTTGTAATATTTAATAAAAATAAATGAAATACCAAACTGATTAAATCATTATCTTACGAAATAAATTTAATAAAAAATAAAAATAAATTTAATAAAGTATTATATATTGCTTTCTAACATGGTTTAATAAATTATTTTGTCGAAACAATTTACCAGAAGAGATTAAAAATTAGCAATATTTTTTTAAATCTTTTCTCTTTATATTCGTTTTTTGTTTCCATTAAGCAAAAATTTGAATTCTCGCTAATATTTTCTTATTAATTTTCAGGATTTTCTGAAGATTACGTTCTTTACATATCTTTATTTACATCTGAAGAAACACAAATTCAGATAAAGATTAAAACTTTATTAATAATGAAAATTTTACATAAAAAATAGCTTAATCTTCTTCTTCCTCTGGAGCAGCTCCTGCACTTCCCTTACGCAAGTTTTTCCTCTTGACACGGCCAGGTCTGCCACCACCAAACGGAGATTTCAATGAGAAGTCAATGTGCTTCTGCGAATCCAATCTCACAATAAAGGATGGAATGTTTACTACTTGTTTGCGTACTCTGAAACAAGAATATACATTTTCTCTTCCTTATACTTTCTAATAATGTGCATTTTTAATATTTTAAAACATCAATTTATGATTCTACTTAACATGTAAAAAAATATACCAATTATTTTTAACACGAATACGTATCCACTAGCACCAGACAGACGTTAAGTGCTAGTTTCCTAACACTTAAGTGGCCTGCCTGAAAGAAAACATTAGTATACAGCACAGCACATTCTTGTACATCATAGTTAACCCAGCCACTATTTAAAGTCGCACTTTTTTTTTGTTTTGATTGGACAATCAATCAGGAAAAGTATTTGAATACCTGCAGTAGCCAAAGACTATTACTCTCATGTTTTATAATCAACTAAAAGAAATTAAAAATTATGTTTCCACTTTTGAAGCCAAACAAGCAATATTTCTTATTTGGTGATTAAAATTGGAATTTGCTGTAGCCTTAAAGATTAGAAATAATCTGCATGTAATCAGATATTTCTTGCCCATTTTTCAAGGCATATAAATCTTTCTGCTCAGTGAGATTTACCTAATATGACGTTGGCGAATAAGTACACGAGCGTGATGAATAGATTTGGCAAGACCCAACTTGAATACTTGAGTTTGAAGTCGTCTTTCCAAGAAATCTTCGATCTTCAAGCCAAGAACATAATCAAGTTTCATACGACTTTCATCCAACACTCCAATTCTTACCAATCGACGCAAAAGAGCATTTCCTGACAAAATATACATAAATACATGCTTTAATAAATAAAGGATAAAGTACATATAAATAAAATTAACTGTATAACTTCATCAGTAGAAATAAAGAAATAACATCAAAATGATCAGACAAGAGGTGTCAGATGTAAATAAATTCATCATACAAGTCTATTCTAAAGTCTATTAAATAAATAGTAAAGTTGATTCGATACTTCACAACTAAATTGGTAAAAATTGATCCAATACCTTCAAACAAACGTTTAGGATCCTTTTCTTCTAAAGTAAGAAGTTCACGGGCAGCTTTTCGGATATTTGCTAGGGTGTATTTGACTCTCCATACTTCACGCTTGTTACGAAGGCCATATTCACCAATAATACGTAATTCTTGATCTAAACGAGCCTTCTCATAAGGCCTCCTTGGAGTAACATAAGTTTTCGAGAAAACTGATGGTATTCGTCCGTTAACCATTTTGTACGGCCGTTACCTAATATACATTTAACAAAACGTATTCTTTTTTAAATCTCAAATACATATGATTTTTAAATAAACAAATTTATTACAACGCTGTAAAATTATATTTCTACATAAGATAACAAATATAAAATTTGTTGGAACCACGTGTGTAAAAAACGTTAGAAAATGTAATTAGTTTGAAGAAAATTTTAGACTTAACTTAATATAATTTAAAAGAAATAAACATTGAGATTATTAAACATTTGTATTGTAATTAGAAAAAATTGAAATAAATATCCTCTAAATAAATTGCATACCGTACTTAACTCCGTAAGAAACACAGCTACTCAGCGTTACAGACGAAATTAAAATGGCCGAGCTCCTACTTGAAAGTAAACTATTACAGAATACATTCTGAAACGAATGCAGCGCTCAAACAGGAAATTCATTTCCAATAGTGGGCTTTTTGAAAGACATTTATTTATATAATATATAATAATATTTCTTATAAATATATAATATTTTTTGTAGTATTAAGGTTTAATATAAATTAAGAAAATTTATAATTTTATCTCACACTGTTATATTTAAGATAAAAAACACTTTTTACTTTAGTAGTATATTTGAGTAAAATATTAATAAAATAAAATATTAATAAAAAATTGAAAAGTGGATATTTTCTAATATTTTTTATTATTATTTGGTAATTTTTTCTGTACAATAAATTTAATAGACTAATTTCATTATATAATTCGTCTTCATGTTTAATATCATAAATCTGTATTTTATTTATTGTTTTGTGCGTTATTATAACTGTGTTGGAAGATATATTTTATAAATTTAAAATATATATGTTGCAAAATATTTGCCAGTGAAGTGTTTTTACTACTGTATTATTGTGAAATGAAAGTTGAAAACAAACAATTCATACGTCATTGCTAATATGATAGACAATATTGCAGGCAGATTTATTTCGAAATAATAAATTAGATAAGAATGAATTTTATCAATCTCGAAATATATTCATAGAATTTTGTTTTCATTTATTGTCATTTATATTGTCTTTATTGTCGTTGGTTTGTTTTAATTTTAATTTATTACGTATGAAGCATGTATAACTGATTATATTTACAACATATATATATATTAACCATAAACATATAATATATTTTTATAAGGAAAATTAATTGTGTATTTAGTGTTATAAAATATCAGTGTTTTGTCATCACATTTTTCTATTCTAACCTAATCAACTGTTTTTTATGTACAACACTTTACTTAATTGTTATGAATTTTTTAATCAATTGTAGATATAATAGATATAATAGATATAACCAATTATATATATTATAGTATATGAATATTTAAATATTTAAAACAGATGCTCATCTTAATTTTGCAAGATTGTTTCATTAGAATACATATCTTTTAATTATTTAAAGAATTTTTTAAAATAATCATTGAATTTCATAATAGTAATTAAATAATTTATAAACAACAAAAAATGTATGATATTAAAATTAACATATAATAAATAAACATATTTTGTGTTCTTTAGATTAAATATATAACACAAGTCACGTTTCATATTAAGTCACGTTTAAATCACGTTTTAGTTTGATATTCTTGGATTTTTTTGCTGAAGTACATGTCGATATGCAGGGTTATTCTATTGACCCCGAACACGGTGAAACAAAGATAAAAGGAGATGTAAGTAACAGTCACGTTTTCAACATACTCAGTAACTTGGTAACAGTAAAAGGAAACATTAAGAAAACGTTTTACTTCAATTTTTTGTCTTATATTGAGAACTAGTTCAATTTATTGCAATTTCAAATATATTCATTTTTAAGCTTTCAATAAATTTTTTACATTATGGAGGCTTTTGGAACTGTAAGTATTGCAGTTTTATTTTCTAACTTTTTCAAAAATAATTTCTGGGAAATCTATTTAATCAAATTTTTCTGATCTATAATAAAAATGTCAAAAATTGATAGGGGTAAATATTTTATGCTGGAAGCTACTGCTGGGTATAAAAAATTTTATTTATTTACTTATTTATTTTGTTTGTATGAACAGTTATCTTTTAATAAAATTAGTTATAATATTCTATGCTTAATATTATGTAAATATAAAAATATTGAAATTAAATAAAACTTTTCATGACAAAATTTATTTTATAAATTTTAATAAAAAAAAAATACTAAATATTTGAATAAAAAATACCTCTAATTAGAAAAAGAGGTGTACTGGATGGAAGATGATTTATGTGGAGCAGTATCCACCATTTAGTATCTCATGTGTTCTTTTGCATTATGAGTTTGCGAGTTTGATGTCCCAAATTTACAAGTATAAGCTGAAAAAGAAAATAAAAAATTATCTATTCTACGACTATTATAAGAATGTAACTGTTATATTATAAAAAATAGTTCTATAATTTTGATAATATTTAAAGACATTAAAAATAAGACATAAAAGCAAAACACATATTAACAATCATTTTGGAATATTATGATTATACCAAAAATTTTTTGAATTCAATATCATGAATTTTTTTCTACAAAATAGTTACATTCTACTGCTGTAAACAATTACGAAATATTTAAAAAGAAGAAAGAAAAATTATCTTATAATATATGGTGACTCAAAAAATTGCATTTAGATAGTAATTATATTGACCTTTCGAAGGAAATTTGTCACGTGAGCAAACTCATGCAAGATAACATGGCATATATATTACAATGATAATTTTTATGAGATATATCTACATACTCTATTGTATAATATCTTCAATATATATTATTTTTTAAAATTATATAAATGGAGATATATTTGTAGACTATTTCAAATATTTTAATTAGAAATATATCATTTATTCCAATATATTATCAAAATCAACACTCTTTTTAGTATCCTATTTTGAAGTCTTTTCTTGCGGGATCACTATCTGGTACATTTTCAACTATTTTATTTCAACCTTTGGACCTTGTTAAAACCAGACTTCAAAGCAAAGTAAATCTTCATCTTGGGTGAGTATAAAATATTTAATTTTTAAAATTAATTTATTCCAAATTGTTTAATTTGTTTATTTTGTACAGTGCTCCAAAAAGTGATACTTTAAGCATAGTCATTCATATAATTAAAAACGAAAATGTGCTTGGACTCTGGAGGGGCATGACTCCAGTAAGAACATAGCAATTGTTAGATTTAACAAGTTTAAACAAAAAAATATTGATTAAAAATAATTTTTCAGACCATTACTAGAGTTGTACCTGGTGTTGGATTGTATTTTGCATCATTGCATTGGTTAAAGCACACATTGGATTTAAAAGATCCACTCACACCTACAGAAGCTTTGTTATTAGGCATTACAGCAAGATCTATGTCTGGAGCTTTATTGATTCCAATAACGGTAGTAAAAACACGTTTTGAAGTACGTATATTTTAATGTATAATATATAAAACACTATAGAAATGAAAATACACGAGATTAGGAAATGTAATATTGCTTTTTTTTTATAGAGTGAAGTTTATAAATACAATAGTATAGCAGAAGCGTTAAAATTAATATACAAGCAGGAAGGAGTAAGAGGTCTTTCGAGTGGATTAGTACCGACGTTATTAAGAGATGCTCCTTATAGTGGTCTTTATCTCACGTTTTATACTCAATTAAGAACTATTTTTACAAAAGCAGGTAAATTTTTATTAGTATAAAATTAGAAAATAATTTATCTACGACATAATTATATTTTTTTAGATTTGCCCTATACCAAGTCGTCTGTTCCGCTGCATTTTAGTTGCGGAATATTAGCAGGAATATTTGCTTCTATCGTAACACAACCTGCAGATGTAATCAAGACAAAGATGCAATTATATCCTGATGAATTTAAAAACATTCGTAATGCAACTTTAAGGATTTATGAAAAATATGGTATATTAGGATATTTCAAAGGCATTGTTCCACGAATGTTGAGAAGGACATTAGTGACTGCAATGGCTTGGACCGTATACGAAGAGGTAGCAAAATTTTTAGATCTTTCAATTTTTTATTATCAAGACAATTCTAAAACAAATCATACGAATTAAATAATATATTATTTTCAGGTTACAAAATTTATAGGACTTAAATAAAATTGTTTCTATTTAATAATATAAGTTTTTGGTGATCGTTGACATAATTTTAAAGAAAGTCAATAATTTACGCACGATGGAATCAAAGTCATTCAGCCAATATAGATATTTATACTTGATGTACAGTATTTTAGTTTTGTACAAAGATTTGATTCTAGTGGACAATTGTATTATAGCAAATACCACTACTATGTACAGTATTCAGATAGAACCTATCGCTCAATAATGTATTATTCATATATATATTTTTATTTAATAAATTTTATAATTTAATGTTAGAAATTGTACAGTGTACTGTTACTTTGCACATAATTCTGACTATTTCAATGTTTGCATGTTTTCCAAAATAACCTGATATTTTCATTGCAGTACTGTTTTATTAATTTTAATTAACAATCTTAAGAGTATTACAATATAAATTATAGACAATTTACCTTTATATCTTTTTTCATATGTAGCCTAAAGTAACATTTATCAGATACAGATAAATTACTAGTAAATTCGTTTTTAATTTTTTCCTGATGTTATAACATAATGTTAAACAATAATTCCAATAGATCCAATTTTAAAAATTCTCATAATTAACTTTAAGAAAACGTGATGCAGCAAAGATGAACTCAAACGCAAGTGTATAAAATTCATGATTGGAATTTTTAGATTATGCAAAATCTTTACCTTAATATTATATTAAGCAGTGTGCAAGTGAGCCTGTTGTATTGGTTATATCCCCATGGCATGTCTTCTCTCTGAAAATAGACAATACAAGTTTTAGAAATTATAATCCTATTATTTTTTTCTCTCATAATTTCGGTCGTTACCAAATGCACAGGATAATATATTTGCATATTATTTATTAACCTTGTCCTAATACATATTTAAAAAAATCATCATACTTCTGTCGGCTACATATGTGAGAAAGCATATTACATAATCAAAATTGATCATCTTTGCTTGTAACATTGGAAATAAATAAAATAAATGTCTAAATTATATGAAATTAAGATAAAAATAATTACTGTGTTAATCAACTTTTGAACAAAAAGTTACATTAATCATAATATCATTACAAAAGATATACAATAAATGCTATTAATCTCTTTAAAGATATTTCTAAAAATTTGATACTATTTAATAAATATATTCTTTCTTTTTATAAATCTATGCTGAAATAATGTTTTAATAAATTTTCTTTTAATAATTATTTTCATATAAAATCATTTAACATATGTATGACAATATAAAAATGAAATGAGAGTGGAATGAAAACCTATAGTGTGCAAATGAAGATAATTTTTAATTATAAATAGTTGATATTTTTTATAATACTAAATTAGACTCCTGTCATCCCAATGTAACAATACAAGACGATCCTTTATGTAGAGCCGTTATTTCGGTATTTCGTTTCTTCGGTATGTCTTTCTGTTTGATTTTTTTTTTTAAATTAAGTGGTCCAGAAAGTATCGTTATTAAATGTGTAAATGATTTATCATGAGTCAATATGAGTTGCACAAATGTAGTACGCGCTCAAAGTATGAATTTTCTATAAGCCGAAATGAAGGACGCGACAAAAGAATAAGACAAGACGTGATTAAGGGAGATATCCTCGGAGCACCATAAGACACATTCCACATGACCTGTCATCAACCTTCATATTGCTATACCGTGATACTATAAGAATTACGACTCTCTGCTAAGAAAATTTGACTGAGCTTCGCCATGTCCTATTTCTCAGAACTAAAAATAATGGAGAAAAGATGCATGCAAAGGGAACAATATGTATCACACATGATACATGTTTCTTGAAATATATATTTTTACAAATAGAGTTCAAAAGACGACGATATGCCAAGTTATAATCCCGATTTATTTATCTATTAATTAAAGTTATAGCCACAAATAAATTAAATATATAAGTATATTTTATATTTCTGGACTATACATATGAATCTTTTGTTATTTCAAAAACTATGGCTTTGTCATTTCGGACGTAATTGTTAAAAATTTTCCCTGACTAATTGATAATTGTTCGATTTTTAATTGAATATGCTCCAATAAGTTGCAATCAGGGAATAAGGAAAGTAAGAGCAGGAGTTTGTTATCGTAACTTTAAGCATTCAAATATTGCTCCAAAATAAAGATCACCATTTTGAAAATGTCTAATTTTCCTAATAAAAGGACATGTTTGGTATTATCATTCCGATATAAATACCTCAGAAATGCGTAGTAGAAGCTAGGATTGTATAGTCACAGTCACACAGGGCACTGTTGTGGCAGGTCTACGGAAGTAGGCACTGTTTCCTCCACTAAACCACTAATTTCTTTTCGACAAAAAAGCTATGCAGTTGTTGAAATTACATAATTGATTTACCCTATGAAGACATTATACCGATCAAAGCAAGCATAGGTATACCTTCTCCTATCTTGCTCTGTAGACAATATCTATAATACTACATGATAAAAATACCTTTCGTATGGGAACGACTTTTACTATTCCTTGCTCGACATTACCTCGATGCACCGTTTTTCGGTAATATGTAACATAGAACAAGCTCGTCACTTTGAAAATTAAACGCTGTACAAACAGGTCCATATGAAATTTAGTACAAGTGTTTCTCCGATTAATAGGCAGGACCAGAGACTGGCTCGCTGTGACTATGCCATTCTTCAAAATTACAGATAATTATCATGTATATATTATGTGCATCTAATGAAACTTACCTGGTAAAAAACCTGTACAGTAATTGAGACGAATATGATATATTATTTAGTGCATACCTGGCTTACTTCTCACTCACTAACCAATCAAGAGTAGTTACTTGTGACTTCGACTTCTAGATCGATGTCGACGTCGGTTGTGATGACTCGAGCTTCGATGATCACGATTTCCTGAATGTTAAATGTATTTTTTAATAGTTCAAATTTTGCAATGGTGTATTCTTTATTTACCTTTATCTCGAGCATGACGTCGGTGGTCATCATCTCGATGTCTGTCGTGTTTGTCTCTTGATCTGCTCCTACTTCTATGTCCTGAATTTCTACATATAATTAGTAATAGAAATTAGTATTTTGTCACTTAATAATTTAATGGCATAAGTAACTGTATACCTGTGACTGCCTGAATCATGTCTGCTTTTATCATCATCGCGTCTACGACGTTTATCTCTTTCTCTGTCTCTGTCATCTCTTCTTCGTCTATCAAGTTCTTCATTGGCACGTGCTCTTTGTTTTCTATCTTCTTCCCTTCTTTGTTCTTTTTCATCTCTAGCTTTTTCACGTTTACTCTATAAGATTATTTTTATAATAATTATCATTTCAAGCTATTGAAATTTACAAAGAAAGACTATGAATTACCATAATTTCTTGAAGAGCACTCTTTAATCTAGCATAACCAACATGTTGTTTACCCATTAGATGATCATCAATTCGTTGTTGAGCATCACCGACAATAAGAAATGCACCACATACATCACATACCTCCATTTGTTTCTCTTGCGCAGCAGCTAATTCGGCGGTCTGAGTGAAAGTGAAATTTTAACCTTTAGTACTTTTTATTATGATGCTTTATGTATTACAATATTTACCTGATTGTAGTGACTATTATCGTTAGATTTTCTTAGCGTTTCTCGTTCTTCCTTTAATTGATCGCATAATCTCATTAGGCCTTGAGCCTGTTCCACATTGCCTTGTATTCCACTTTGTTCTGCTTCTTCTACTAGTTTATTAATTTTTTCAGTTAAAAGTGCAATTTGTTCTTCGTTTCTTTGAGTTTGTGCTGGTGTCAAAGTAGGCTAAAGAAACATCAATTTATAGATTTTTAGCAATGGAATTAACATACGACATTCTTTAAAATGATTCACTAAACTAAAGTTGATTTACCGCTTCCGTTCTTCCAATAAGGGCTAATCGCTGTTTTCCCTTTATGATTTTTCTCTCAACTTCATTCAACATGCTTTGACAAAATCTAATAAACTCATCTTCATACTGTTGCTTCCGATATGAATAGGGAGCTTTCTCAAATAGTTCCCTAGCTTCGTCATCATGCACTCGAGAACACGCGCCCAAATCAGCTCTTGTGTTAACGAATAAATCGTGGGGACAAAATTTAACTAAATACAACTTGCAGAACTGCAACAGAAAACAGAAATAAAAATTACAACGAGACATTAATATTTGGAAATTGCAATTCTCTAGACGAGCACGCTAAGGTATCAACATTTTCGAAAACTTACTTCAGGATCTTCCCAATTAAGTTCCTTGGGTTTTTCATTGGGAAGAACGTTCCTATTTCTTCCCATAAGCTCATCAAGCAGAGCAGCAGCAGCAGCAGCAGCCATATTCCAAAATTCTTCAACGAATGTCGATTATTAGTGAAATACGAAAATGCACCGATAATTCTTAGGTATTTAGACACTATGAAATCTATGCGGTTTGTTTGCACTTTATGCGAAGTATTCAATAAACGATAGAGCTATGTAAATTCACTTGAAAAGGAGGGAAACAGATGAGAACATTAAGTGAGTCTAACGAAATGATGATACTTTCATTCTAACCCCTTTTTACTTTAGAAGGCGGTAGTGTAGCAAACAATATGGCGGAACTCACAGAACGCACGTATGTGAAAGTGTGAACAAGAGAAAATCTAATTTTTCACTCCTTCAGTTCAATGAATAATGCACATTAAATAGATTCCAGCTTGTTTTATATTTCTTGCAGCTGTTTGTTTTTTCTTATTTATTGCGAATATTCTGAAAAATTGAAAGAAAAAAAAACACGCAACATGAGTTGCGCTCTGACGTTCTCATGATCTTTGTTACTACGTGATATGACAATGTCATTTTTTAGCAATAAATAAATAAATATATATATATATATA